GGCAACACGGGTACACCGCACAGACGCTTCGCCGTCACGCGACCACAATGCGCACGCATGCTGCGGACAGTGTAAGATCGGTTGCACCCACGCAGACTCTCGCCTGCAATTTGCGGATTACAAGGCAGACGCCTTATCCCAACCGGTCATTGGCAGACAGGCGAACGAAAAGTAAACTGCTGAGAAATATGACCACTTTGTCCGCAAAATCGTTGCATGTACTTGAAAGAACAGAATTCCACAAGCGGTTCAATTCTTGTTTTCACTTTCCAAATGGGGACAGGGAGCCGGAGCTGGGGGTGGGACCGAGCATATGGTAGTAGACGGCTGACATCTTGATCGTCGGCTCGCTGAACACCGCGAACAACGTATGGTGTAAGGGTTGAGAATGTACTAACGAATTTTTGATTACTAATAGTATGGATGTGGAAATTTTTCTAGACAAGGTGATATGGTTATATTAGACCAGCGAGTAAAGTGAAAGCTAGGAAACCCGATAAATGGTCGCAAAAGGCACAGTGTTGTACCTAACAATATTATTGGCCGTCAGTAGACTGACACAACCGATTTTGAGGCTCGAAGAGGATAGGGGAAATGTGATTCCCTTCATCTGTGTTCAAAAACATCTACCCGTCTGTGATAAAACGAACACGAGAGATGCACAGTTTCAGATCACACGGTTTCATGAAACGGGATAAGTACAATGTGGGCACGAAATGCGTTCAGGAAGAGTGGGAACGCCAATCACGGTGGATGCTGACAATATGTTGTGGGAAAACAAATCTGGTCTACTCCATTACGTAGAAGTGATATGGCAAGCGCGGGATCGCGTGAGGATGTGATGAAAGAGCCAATCCAAGCCCCGACTGGCTATTTCGACTCGAAGAGTCTGAACAAAGAGAAGTCGATTGCAGACAGCAGTGTCCAGAGAGGGAGAGAGAGAAACACCGAAGACTCTCGACGAAGACAGTCGTCATGTATCTAGTGGCAATAAGCGTAGGCCACGGAACAAACTCTCTGTATTAGTTAGTCATGAATGACAACAGTGAAGTTAGGAGGGTGGTGCCACAAACCCCAAACTCGTGCGGCTAATCAGTTAGATGAAGTATAATGGTGTGCGGAAATAGCAACATTTTCCAAACCATCCCGGGATGCTCACGACCAGTTTTAAACCTGGTCTTTCGTCAATAGCCTGTTCAACGGGAGCGCAGGAGGTGTACTTAAAATAAACAGTCATTGCTGCTGACGCTTAAACTCTGCTCATTGGAATCTGTTTCCGTGCCTCGACCAAACTGATCGATGCTTCAGAGATCCATTCACAATTCGGATGCCTCAAGTTGGGCGTACAGCAAGTGTCAAAAGCATTCTCCATGAGACGATTCCAGCGTTCGGCTCACTAACCTCATCCGTAATTTATTGTCGGTGGAGGAGTTTATCATGATATTCTTGAACTGCAAAAGGTGAATTCAAGTCACAAGTGAGAAACCTAAAGTTAGGCGCTTCTTTGAAGCGGGAAGAGCAAGCGCTAAGCGTGCACGCAGCAGAGCATGGTCGGAATCCAGACAAATGCTCCAAATTAACCGAAAGTTTTACACTGATGCGTGCCATCTATAGTTGACAATATGGTCAAGTTGGGTGCAGGTCATCGAGGGATTCGGTGAGCGCCATGTGATGCGATGTGAAAATGTGTGCTAGAAAGCAGTGCTGCTGATATAAGGCTTGTGATTAGCACTTAGTTTCGGGGATCGATCGCCATCTTTTGTTGCACATGTATGGACCGCGGAACGGCCTCCCAGGTGCTGCTCAGAGTCCGAAAGGCTACCCACCTAAGCATTCATGTCACCAGCAATATACACGATGCTAATATTTTTCGCCATGCGGATAAGAGCTGACGATGGAAATCCTATTCAATCTCCTGTAAACTGCATTCAGTAGGGGTAAAAACAGGCGATGAAAAGACTATCTTCAGACGTTGCTTAGTAACTAGCAAAGATTCGAAGTCGAACCGTACATATGCGGCTCTTCATCAGTATGCAGTCAAGCAGATTGCCTTCAGCATGTTTGCTGAGAGCAATATCAACACCGTAAATACCTTGAGTCATTGACTCTGTATCGTCACAGACGCGAAGAGTGTAGCCATCGCCGTCAGATTCAGAACAAGGGAGTTAAAGATTCGTCACGACACTGTTATCTTGTATGCGTGTTTCGGAGACACAGCAAAGGTAAATACCAAGAAAGTGAAGAGTAAGAGTTAGTGCTGCTTGCTGGCCGATCTGATCTAAAGTGCAGACGTGTGTAGGTGTGCCAGTGTGTAGTGGTAGCACGATGGAACCAATGTGGAAGTTAGACAGCGAGTTCTGGGTGGAGGAAGCTACTCGATCGAGAAGCTCGTCCCGCTGTGTCAGCTGCGGTTGTTTGGACACGTACTGCACATGCCCGCTCGTCTTCCGCGTCGGGTGTGGTTCGCGGTTGCTGGACAAGGGTGGAGGAGATGGCGCGGCGGACAACCGAGAACTTGTAGAAGCTAAAGGAAAAAGCTGACGAAACAGTTGGCTTCGGTCGGTTGTTCTCTACGCTCTGGTTGGGATTTCAGAGATACAGTGTCGCTGGTTGGAGACCCTAGAAGTCATGGCTCAAAACCGACGTCAATGGCGAGCATGTATCTCTGCGTGTTGAGATGATTTCGTTTGCCTTTCCCAACAAAACAAACAATAAAAAACCGTAGGTGAAAAACCAGAGAAAAAGGTACACGTTCTTTTTTCCTATTCCTATCTTGTTTTTTTATTCCGCCTTGATTCCGATGGCACAATAGCTGTACCATAGAAGAGGGTGTATTGTCGATGTCGAGAGGGCGGATGATAACTTCCGGCTGCGCAATACGAGGGGCTTTGTTGAAGTGCGTTGGCTCTAGCCTTTGACTGGATAGTTCTGATCCATAAGGCAGTGGTGGGTAAGTCAAGCATGGGAGCGTGATTGCGGAGACCCATTGGGATCTGCTGGAGGCCCATTAAAAACACAACCTTTGAAGATTCAAAACAGTGCACACATGTTTTACGACCGTATTATGTTACGCACAGGCGAGTACGGCCAGCCGAAAGTGGGAGTTGACGGATTTGCACCTATTTGACCAGGGTCTGCCTGGCTTGAGGCGGGCGGTAGCAAAGCATTGAGCACCTAAAGGTGCCCTCTCACCGTCAGAGAAAATGGGTGGCACTCGTGCCCTACGCCAATCGAGCTGGGAACTTATAACCCGTAGATCTGTTGATTCGCATGGCTAGGTTTTAAAGGAAGAGGGCCATTGAACTCTCCCTAACTTCCGAAGAGGACTGGATATTGAGACTGAGTTAGGTCGAGTTCCACATTGACGTGCCTGGTATGAGTGGCTCGGAAGGTGCTTGTAAAATGCTCCCCGGAGCGCAGCTCGATGCGTTACGGAGGTACGGAAACCATCGCACCAGTTTAAGGCACAGTCTCACCGCGATAAACGTGGAGGCCGGCAAAAGTACACTCCTTCAATATGAAGGTGGGTGTGACGCGGAAACTACTGGCCGCATTGATGACTTGGAATAACTCTTTGAATATTGCATGATACTGAGGCAAGACTCTTTATCCTGAGGAAATAGGCAAGCGGTATGCATAAAATGAATAATTGTTTGCTATCAGGTTTATAACAAATATATGTTGGGAAAGATTAAGTAGGTTGGAGAGTAGCGGTTATAACCACTGAGTAGACACAAGCAAACGGGGTATTCCACGGATGGTCGTATATTTTACTTGGGTGGCTAAATTTATCACTGTGCTATACTTCCCGTAGTTTTATTACTTTTAAATAAGTGAACACCGTAATATCTTTTCTGGCACCTACCTTGTAAAACACAAAATCTATCTCTACCATTCCACTATGTTACACATAATGATCAGACAATGTAGGTGGTCTGTCACGCCCCGTCGAGAAATATACCATCGATTTATTTATCATGCCTATGATGAAGCGAACATTTCTGTGTTGGATTCGATTTCCCTGGTTTGGCTGCTGACCATGTTTAAACAAACCTCTTTTGGACGCATAGATTCGATCTTGTTGATGTGATGCTTAACGCTTGTAGCAAGTAGTTTGATTGTGATGTTGTTTTCGAGAGCACCTCGTATGTCAATGTGATATCCCGCGCTGATCAGGTGGTGATTTACCGCACTCAAAATGGTTTGTCTTGTCATTCGATAAGCTGATTCGGTGGGTATTTATTCATTCATTTTCACAAGTGCCTGGTCGCCTGGAAATTAGCTCCACAGGAACAGGTGAACCAGTCGATCACCAATGGCTGGGAGTGGTCAAGCACTTACACATTGGATCTAGGGAAAACAATGTGAACGTGAAAAATACAATTGGATTGTTTGCAATAGAAGTCTTTCTGCAGTTTTGCACGGAGACCCAGGGATTTCATCGAATATACAGTGCCATAATCATAATTCGCAAGTGTAGTGTAGTCCTTGAAGGACTCCTAACAGGATGTGACTCATGGGAGACAGGCCTATTTGTTTGTTGTTTAATAACCAGCCACATGGTCTACCCTTCACCGAAAACATAGACATCAGAAATGCCACAACCTTGGATGGGTCATACTGAAGCACGCGTTGTGTAAACTGATTACGACACGCAATCTCAAACAAAATGGCAATCCGGTTTGGAGTGAATCTCGATCAAATCGGTCATCGGGACTGTAACCGAAGAAGATGAATACAAATGCTACCTACTTTATCATGATCTACCACAGCCTGTGGTTACCGGCGTTCACTTTTTGATGATTTGAATTTTTGACATATAGTTATACAACCATCTGGCTGGTGGCCAGGAAGCCGTTCACCGAAAATGCTTACCAACCCACAAACACAGGCGAACTGTTGGGTAATTGGGATGCTACAGGCTACGTGAGCGTGCGAATACAGTAAACCATGTAAAGAACATGTATAAACACAGAGGAAAGAGAATACAAAGACATTACGTGGGATTTCTCGCTGTGTGAATCACAACGCTTCAATAAGATCCGGCTGCTTTCCGGATTGCGAGTGTCCGAACGGTTGGATAACTCAGATGAAGAGGAAATGCGCCGCAAACGGCTTGTAGTTCGTCGTTTTGCCGCAAGCCCGTCGTCCGGTTTGGAAACTGTGCTGCGCCTCGCGCGGTTCAACGTTTTCCGGACCATGGGTAGTGGCTCAGGAGAAGAGTCCGATGATCCAGTTGAATAAGTCGGGGGTCTGACAGTGGATCGCCGAGATCGACGCAAAGGCTGAAGTGGGGCTGAAGTGGTGTCCCTCGTCAGTGGCTTTGTGCGACAAGACCGTTTTGGTCTGACGACCACATTAGCGATTGATTGGCCGGATGGCTGCAGTGACATACGTGAGGATTTCTTGGGTTCGTCCACAATGCGTTTTCTCGATGGGGCCGGCAGCGAAGTTCTTGTGGGGACGGGCTTTGAACGACTACTGTTGTGATGATCCTCAACGTAATCGGAGAACGAGGAGAAGTCAACAACGGGAACGGAGACGGAAAAAGGCAGTAGTTGTCTACCGGTAGAAGCATTTGACAGCTGCAAGATAAAACAATAGGTAAGGAGATGAAAACTAGCGTGTGCGAAAGAACGATCCACAAACATAGCTGGATAGTGTCAAATGGAAAGCCAACGGCGGCACGAACATTGACAAGCAGAAGGTACCGGCCTGTGGATGAAAACAATAACAATCTAACAAGACCCTGTGCGTGGACCACTCGGAAGACAACCGCGGACTCAAAGCCATCAAATATTGGGGGTAAAACTAGCGTATAGGAGCTCAGCGCCCCGCGCAATCGACCGCACGCAACAGGAAAAGACACAACAGCTAGTGTGCACTAATCGATTGGCATTTGCGATCGCTCTGCAGATGTGTTAGTCAAAGAGAATCAGAAGGGTAGAATATATTCCATATGCTAGTATATCGCAATCAACGGTCCGTGAACACTGCGAGAATTCATTGTGCATTTGTGATGCGTATATAGGCGACTGATCTACCCGTGTCAATGCATAAATGGTGTATCGGATTAAAAGCTGTCGTTTATTAGCTGTGCATCATACAAATGCGTGCAAAGAACAAGAGGGATGACCTCATCAGCGTGATAACTTGATAAGATATTTAGAGAGGGGATCTTTGGGTCAATTTCGAGGGGGATTGTCCAAAGCTGCACTCCGTCAGACAATCAGCACACATCTGGAGAAGCGCTAGGCAGCCGTTTTCATCATTTTGTGGCTCATCAGTAATGTGCACTGTTCTCTTCGTGAGGGATGGATACCACACCCCCCGTGGTCCTGTGGCTTTAACTATTCCACACAAAAATGAAAAACAGCGAATTTCAGCTCCATATAGGACGAGTGGAGTGCGAACTAGCCGTCTAGTGTTTTCCGGAGGTATGGTGGCAATCTGACTGTGTAGCTGTGAGGAAGCTCCTTGGTGAACTATACTCCAAATGTAGTCCCTGAACGCTATTGCTGACTGCTGTGCAGGTCTGTAAGCCATAATATGGCTATTGGGCTTACGGTATACGGACATAAAACAGGTTGAGCCAAACTTCAAGTTAGAAAACAGAAGATCAAGTTAATAACACAGAGAGGCATACGGAAACGGGCCAATCACAGTCAGCCATGAGGCTGTAAACGGAGCCACGGAATACTGGTTTGCCCAACAGGAATGACATACAAAGTGGGTTCGTGGCATCGTCTACAAATTAGGCTCAGAACAAGCCAATCATCGGGAAAGATCAAACAAGTGTCCGTCGTTTAGCTCTGATGACTTTTACACATCCATCAGCTTAACCATCGGAATGATGTTGGAGATGCGTAGAAAAGAGACTACTCAAGCACTGAAGTCAAGCTACCGTCAGTCTCAGCGCGCTGGTTGTATATGCCTCCAAGAGCAGAGCATCGTGAAAAAGTTAGAAGGGGCAGCCTACACGTGTATGACGATTTGGGGTGCGATGACATGAGGCGTCACAAATGGATGCTAGTCCACTAAGTGGAGGAGGAGCCAATGCAACAAACTGCCCAGATGACGACTGGGTAGGCCAATTGTGAATCTGAGAAATGATGGCTGCAGAAAGTGAGAAATGTTTTTGGTGGAACTACTGGGACTGGTGCAAACTTCAAGAGCGGCAATGCATTGTGAGTGTTTGTAACAATTGGAGCGACAAGGATGCCAATAGCCATCATCCGTTCCATAAACTGAAGGAATCGGTAGGAAGTTCGGGCTTGGCCGTGCTAGCGAATCTCTTCCGGAAGAGAACAAGCATGCGTCTTTCGTAGCAAGTATGGAATAAAGACCCAAGCTACATGGAGTTTTTGAATGAAACTCCCAGTAATATTTGCGAGTTCGCCGGGTTTCCGCTCTAAAGGCTATGCTAGAACCTCGAAATATCTGTCAAAATATCGCAGCATTCCGAAGGTGAAGCTCTGGCATTAATGTAGCGTGTCGCACCGGTCCATGCGAAATACGCGTTAACAATATTCACCGATATCAGATAATGGGTTAACTTTGATTTGGCTGAGTATGCGCGCCCATCTCCGCATCAAGATCACATATTCTAGAATAGAATGTAGTGTTCGTCATTTACCTCGTAGGTTGGTGCGCTCTGTGGGATCCAGCGTCTGCCAACCGTGAGGCAGTTTAGTTAACTGATATTAACGGACCGACACATCTGTAGCTGAGACTGTTTGGTATGCCAGATTTCATGCTTCTGATCTCGCAGTTCAGTACGAAAGCAGTTTGTTTTACAGGACTCTAAGCCGAGCGGAGCAAAAACGAACATCAATGCCAAGCTAGGCTAGTTCAACAGAACGAGGATAAGGTGCCATAATAAGCACTTGATAAACGGAAAACAATTAGAAAGCAGTGTGAGGGGTTTATTAGCTTAGGGATACCAGTTGTCACCGGACTCGGCAAGATTCGGAATAGTGTTGCGCAGATATTATACTTGATCCAATTGAGACGCGCACCGGCCAGGACTGAAGTGATTGTGCCGTAAGAGGATAATCGTGGGTTCGTTGCCCATGCGGTCCGAGGAAGATGCGCGATACTAACATGATCCGATAGAGCAAAGAGACCGCTTAGTGCATCACCGAAGGTGTGGTAGCTGTCTGAACCTGACTGAGAATTTGTCTTTACAACGACAATAATTAGTTTGCAGGCTTCATAGACACGTCACACGTTATCGGCTTTCCGTCTGGTCGAATACATGCCGGTTAGCCCCAGTTTGACTGTTCATTGATTGCAAGCACTGGTTCAAGCGAGCAGAAATAATAGGAAAAGATTTGTGACCAAATCGGCAGATCACCACCAATCCCATGCACCTCGTCTCGAACCTGTGAAACGCGATGCACCCGTCGACCCTTTGTAGGATGATGCGACCGAAAGGCTCTGCGTTTGGCACCAAAAGCCCGGTGGTCTGGCAAATGGTGCGTTCACGCTGACTGTAGACGAGGTGAACTGGTTTTGTCCAGCTTTAATCTCAGCGTTCCCAGTGTGTGGGTGAGCGTATTGTCGCAGGGCGCAGATTAGCGTTAAACGAGTAGTTGGGGCTTGCTACAAGTTTTTCCCTCGGCGGAAAAAGCACATACGGTGCAGATGAGTGGTGCCTTTGTTTAAAACGCACCCTGAGATAATCTTACAAAGTGCTGACCTGGATCAACGGTGTCCTGGAGGAGAGTTCGTTTTAGTTAGAGTGGAAGGCTGCTATCAACGAATGGGGTGAAGAAACAGCTTGCCATGATTGAACAGATAACGCAAGGTAATCCCGATTAAATTGGTGGATAATAGGAAAGCCGGGAGCATAACCACCACAGAAATAACGATAGGGCCAACCACTAATTAAGCGTATCGACTTTGTAGGTCATAGAGAACGAGGATTAGCAAAGACTGCATCAACATGACGAGCGTCGCCGCTGTCAAATGAGGTGGGATTTTGGCACATGATAGAGGGTTAAGGTGGGTAACATCGGCTTCAGTGATAATGTGATACAAATGTAATACAGACGTCCTAAGTTAACACATTATGTTCGGCGATGAGGTAAACAGATTGACAGAAACCGTTTCTATAGGAGGATTACATTACTAGCATGCAAACCGGAAATGACGAGTAGGAATTATGCTTTGCCCACAAACACTGTGAATCGGTAACGAGACAGTCACATTAGCTTGAAGTGGGGGAAAAGCAACGTACTTTATCACCAGGACCATCAGGGGACTCTTCGAATCCAGCCAATGTGATAGCGGACCGGGATTCTGAGAGACCTTTATCACGTGACGGAGCTTCCTCAGGTTTGAAACCAGATGGTGGCTGTTCATTGACTGCACTGGACACAAATTGATAAGAATCAGTAGGAACCGCTTCAAGATTCACAATAAGTTCCTTCGACATGGACCGATCTGGAGAACCATTTAATTGCGAAGGATCATCGCTTAAAATACTGTCCGGTAGTTTCACTGGACTTGGTATGCGCAAAACGTGGGATTTGCCGGACCTCTTTGACATTATCGAGGCGGCTGTGCGGCGCAGCGGAACGGTCTGTCGATTATCTGGAGTTTCAGAGGGGAAACACTGACTCGCACGACGGACTAAGCCGGTGGTATTTTCGAGCGACTGTAGCATTTTTATTGCCCCGGGTTGCGATCCTTCGAATTCGGCCAACGTGGCGGTGTGGCGGAGGTTGCTCTTGCGAGTACTACGAAACCGAACCATCCCGATGGCATCGGAGAGATAAACGGAAGAGACGTGCGGCTCGCGAAGAGTGGCACGTTTTGAGGTGGACTTGACAAGTCGACTAGGGGGATCGACATCAGAAAGCACAATCGGAGGGGTCACTAGTTCGGATTTGCGAGTCTGTAGGGTACGATAAGGTTTGTCAAGTGTTGAAAGTTACAGACAGACCATTAAGATGCATTGAGATAGAATTGGGCCGCAAAAGGGAAAAGCAATCAGTGGAATGATTCAACAAAGGACTGTTAAGTGAATAGTTCCTCATGGTATCAGAACGGCGGATTATGCCTGACCGCCGTAACTTGCGTACTGGCAAAGGAGCAAAAGAGGAGACAAAAAGTACCTGGTCCACCAAATGGAGAGAGTACACCGTCTCGAACAACGAAAGGTTACGAACACCTGGCTACATTTGTGAGACGGTTTCTTGATGACTTACATTGCCTAACATAATAACCAACTTCGCCATGTGGATACCTCAGCCCGTGGAACACTTTAGGCAAACAATACAGGTGGGGGGGGGCGACAGTAAACGCGCCCCAGAGATTGACCGAGAGTAGCCCCAATATAGTAGTCATGAATATCATTTCCAACTGTGTGCTTAACAAACAACAGCATGAGCCTTACGCCATCATAAATACGACCAACAAAACAAGGCATGTTTCGACAGGCGGTGTGTGGGCAAGCGTTGCAAATTATTCAGTTCTGTTTGCCAATCTAGCTAAATGACGTGAGCATAACTGTCATGCATTTGTCTGAGCACGTGATCTCTGTGCATTGGTCAATACCACCCAAGCAATGATTGTTCAAATGTTGAGAGTGACTGAGATATTCGGGCCGAAGGAGCCAGGGCGTGTTGTCGTTGAAGATGTAGACACCCTTGTGGCCCCAAATACGCGACGCCCCCAGAGATGCGCAAAAGTAGGTTGACAGTATGGACTGAAGAATGAGGTGGATAAGGAAAGTCCGGCAAGATGTCGTCGATTCATTGCCGCAGGACACCGGTGCCAGGCTTGTGCACAGGTACGATGCACCGGTATTCAGGGTAGGAGAGAAAACGGAGACGTCAAACGCACACATAGTTCGCAGTACAATAGCCGCGAGCTAAAGGAGAATCAGCAGTGACAGCGAGGCCATCGACATTCTCGTTAGGAGAGTGAGCGCTATGCACGCTAGATAGTGGTTAGAGCATATTGTCGAGCAGTATCCAAACAACAACGTAGGTTGGATACGAAGGCATTGACCTATACCGGGTGAATGGACGGCAGTGTGGGGACAATGGAATGACCCAACTTGAGTTCGTGGATGATGTAGGAGTACAGTGGATGTCCGCGTAACACGACGGTACCACCTCGAAGCTGTATCACATTATATGCGCGGAATACCTGTAAAACAAGGACGCTTCAGCCAAAAAGGCACATAACCGGCTGCCAACCGGAGCCGTGTAATGAACGTTAGTGACCCGTTTCAGAGGGTGTGTGCAGTCAGCTTGAGATCAGGATGGCCTAAAAGTATCTGAAAGAATGCAAATCAGTGGTTTTCGTTAAACTTTCATTGCGCTGACTGAAAGTCGGATGGAAAACGCCATGCATGCGGACACTAAGCCGATGAACTCAGGATGAGTTCAGCTGGTGAAAGGAGTCACTTTCGTTCGAAAATGTACTAAAAGCACTCACGAAATCGTCCACAGTAGGCGAACGGGATTCAGTGACCGGTTGTGGTTTGGCGTAATCCTCGTCTGCTTGCGATGCCTCTAGGGCGCCCACGGAAGGTCGCACAGCTCTGAATGACTCTTGGTGTAATTGGACCATGGGCTGGGTTGATTCATAATCCTCTGTTGCCTCAGTGGCTAGGAATGCCGATTCATCCACGAATCCTCTCTGCTTCTCTTTGGAGGTGTCAAGCTGATAACCCCGAGGTAAGTTGGCGCAACGCTGTAAAATTTGATAAAACACAGGAGAAAGGAACATGATACATCACTTGGGAAAATAATCCCGAGAAAAGAAGCCCATCCAGTAAATACGATTGATGGTCGCGATTTGAGTCCAGTTGTAACAAAAAAGTGGAAATGATCAATCACAAGCCCAGAAATTAGATATCAATGATGTCGCTGAGATTCATGCAAGCACCCGTCAGGATATTGAATATAAAAGGGCAGTACGGGTGATCCGCGTGAAATACAGCGGTGCTCAATTGTGACCGAATGCCACCATCGTGAGTACAAACGATCACATGTGATGGTGCATGTCCTCAGGCGTCGAATAGTCGTGGTAGCGACCAGGTCGGAAGAGAACGGTAACAGAGGAACCAACCGTTTCAAACATCTGTACAGTAAGAGGGACGGTGACAACGCATAACCACAGGCCAATGCAGAAGTAGCCGAATTAGAAGAGTGGATATTCGTTGTTTGGTTAATCTATCGTGCGCAAGCGTAGGTCTTGGCGCAGGTGGGATTTGTATACGATGAATCAAAGCGTCAAGGATGGTTGAAGTATTCCGGTAACGCATAACAGTTCTGGCCAAAGTTGCGCGGCACATGCAGGAAGGCAAACATTGGCCAATAAGCGTTAACTTGTATATTGAAAGTGGAAATGTATGAAGCTGATGTGCGGGTTGTTGTGGAGTTGACTATCTACCACGGGGTGAACGACTAGTGTGGAACTTCCGAAAGATAAGTGGAGGTATGATTGGTGGATTTCATTAAAGTATACGTGGTTTGAAGTGGGAGGGATAGAAGGTGAATAAACGTGGGGGAAAATGAATTATCCACGGAAGACTCTTATTAGGTCAGGTTTAGCAGATCGAAAAGGAGCAGAAAACGTCGGCTTCTGTACGAGATATCGCATAGATTGTTGTCAAGCGGATACAGTTGCTTAGTATTTGACGAAATCATACGTGTTGGCTGTTAACCAATGGTAACAATGTACCCCACTACAGGTATCGTAATTGCTTATGCTTGTCAGATACAGATGAGATATCCGTGACTCGGACAGCGACGTAGATCGGTTGGTGACTTCATCCCCAAGCCACCGAACCGCGAGCAAGGCTTGTCACACATGGTCGACAACGCATTATTGATCCATTTGTGTGTAGATGGGCTTTGACACGCAATCTACCCATTCGTTTGCATTGATGAATCGCGTGCTGTCCGCGAAACGGGTGCTTCAAATGAATCAACTGAGACGTCCTGTTATTGGACGATAGTTTAATTGACGATTTCTTTCGCTACCGTAGCTCACAATTTAGGCTGTGGCCCGTGTTTAGTTGTAGAACTGATGCCAAGCGTTTGCATGAAACAACAGCACAGTGATGCATTATGAATGTTGTATTGTGCACAATATCACTCTGTGGTCTAGGCTACATTCATCTCTCCTCTTGTGATCAAGGCATGTGTAGTTGGTGTGTGTGGATACCGTGGACAACGACGTACGCACGGTAAGGAAGACTGGAAGCACCGATAAGCGTCCAATTTGAGTAACCCGCGAGCCAATTAAACGGTCACGACTATATTACTGATAGTTACCGCCTGTGTAGTAGCAACAATTACCGAGCACAATTACGAGAAGCAGCGTGCAAATGCCGGTTTTCTGAAGACTGACCTCCGACGTTGTGTTTCCAATCCCAGAGATAGTGAGGAAGCATCGTTCGGTCAACTTGGCAACGACACCAGATGTTTGGTGTGCAACAATACCAACAGTCACTCCAAGCTGTGTAATCCCAAGGAGCAATTCGGTGCCAAACACGTACACACCTACGCAGACAACACCGCAAACGGTGGAAGGCTGGGCTGTTCGTTTACAATCACGGTTGGATCAGTAGCCCCTCCAGCTTATGGAATAGGACTTCTGTGGCTGCTGAACTCCGCATTCGCGTCCCCTACGAGGTATCGTCGTTGATTGCGAACAAAATGCATCTCATTCCTGATAGCGACTTCGCAGCAAACTCCATATTTGCTGAGGTCGGCGTCATCTGTTCCGAGTAATGCGACGTTTTCGAGACAACCCAGCTGTCTCCCCGCAATGTGACACGACGAGTGGAGGAAGTGACCACCGATATCCGATATTCGGTGCTTACGGAGTTTACAACTATCGATATATTTCCTCCGACTTACATGAGAGTTGTGACATCAAGGACATTATGCGGTTGTCCAGCTTTGTGCATGGCATCATGCAAGAACAAGGGGATTTCTCCGCTTCATTCTGACGAAAGAAATGAGAACTGGTCGAGTGGTCCTCAGTCTCATCTTCCTTCTTTTAAGCCATATTGGACTGTCGGAACTCGCCTCAGTAACTACAGGCGGGGCACCTCCAAGATTGAGTCCGTCAAAGAACTTTTGTGTCTGCTCCATGACCACTGCTGTACATAGGATTTCACGTAGAAAATATGTGAGATGCATCACATCGTTCACATGGAGTCTTTGCGAGCAAAGGCAGAGGAAATGAAAGAATCTATGCCAGTTGCAGTAGATTTAGTTAACGAAGTACGCGTTCACGTAGACCACCAGATCGATAATTGTATGTGCGAAGCTGCGTAGTCTGATAACGGCGAGATGTTTCACCACACGGTGTGTTTGCATTTACAAACACACAGCTCCAACTCCCCTAAGACGACGCCCTATCTGGTATGCAACCAGAGCGACAGGTTCCGGACATTCTCTCGTCCAAGTCCATTTCAGTCACCAATCTCATTGTCTTCTGTCATCAGCTATCACGTGCCCCTAACCCGTGCCATGCGTGCAATCAAAATGTTTGGTAGGATGTGAGTAGTTCCTTTCTAAGGCAAGGTTCAAAACGAAGAAACTGTGTTCTCCATTGACTTGACGGCATTCTGTTGGTGAACTTTAAATACTTGTATTGTATCGGTTGTTAAGACCAGGCAGTATCATGTTTTAAGTTGATGGCAATGGTTTCCGAGTGAAGTAATCTTTCTTTGGACACCTTGGCACCTCCGGCCCAGTGAAGCTTACTGACCACATGAAAAACCAGAGTAGTTTGAAAAATCTGTCGACCTCTGTTTTAGGCTGTTCACTGATTATGGAATGTTGGTACTCGACTGGACAGTCGTCCGGACTCGAATCACCTCCTTTAGCCAAGTTATGCGTCAAGCATGCCTTAGATCGCTTATCCAAGCGTATATTGTGTTTAGTAACACAATGCCCGATAAGCGGAGCCGCAGAGTTACGTGGTGAAAAGTACAAAGAGGACCGGAAAACTTCGTAGGCTTACAGCGTAACAACAGTTCCCTTATCTGATGGAGCATCGCAGTTGCCACTATTCGACCTATGTCCATCTGGAAATCGGAAAACTATACGTTAGATAAGGCCGGTGGTCTCAAACGCTTAGCCAATGGTTGTTCTAATAGTGCGTGCAGATTCACCCACAGAATCATAAGTCAATATTTCTAAGCGATGTGCAACGAATAGCGTCATGCCCACTATATGGAGACTCGTTAGGATAACAAACATGCACAAGAAGGGATCGCGGAAGTGCCGTCTAACCACATACACGGCTGCGATACAGTCGTCGAGGTATCATTTCTCTTTGATTTATACAAACAAACACTCTGACAAGGTCTATCCGTTTGCCTTGACCGCCCACACTAGATAAAGTGTTGTACCGGGTGCATTTCATTGCATCTGCAGTAGGCTAAACAGTTCCGCCTCTGTCCGCTGACGGTTCACGCACTTTCAGAACTCCCGATAAACCTATGCTGTTCAGTCTGTTGACTGAGAAGGACGCTTACTAAAGTGCACGTAGAATGATAAGTGACGATTATGCAAATCGCGCTCAATTCAATCACCTTAAAGTTTAAACATCCCCACCCTTCAGGCTGAGCATGACAATTTGCCAGAGCTATCCTCACTTCCTCTAATTTTGCTGTATATATTGAAATGATTCCTTGCAGTCCATCTTCTTTGGTTATAAATAAGCAGACGAATTTGCCGTTAGTATTTTACGTCAACAAGGGCTAGATGAGCTCGTGAGATGGCTATAGTCCAGGGCCCTTAAGCTCAAGGCTTCTAAGTATTATGATGTAATATTTTTTCGCCTCATGATAGTAAGTGGACTTATTTGAAACCCATCACACACTCTCGGAGTGAAAAAGTTATAGTTGTTCATCCAATCCCAAGCAGCTTCGGAGTGTTTTTTTATCGTAAAACTTATCCTGGCTCGCGCATGCTAGCGAGGTTATGTTTTTATGCTCCCAGACTCCGAATCCTTTTAGTACCCTGTGAGTTAAATTACAAATTCGTGAATGCATGTGTTCTCTCTTATTGGATACACTGTTCTCCGATTATTTTTCATGGTCTTCAGAAGGACTGCACCACTACTGGACCGCTAACAAAGAGGATTTGCAAGTGCGGCGGATTAGTTAGGGAATGTTTAACCAACTTGCTTGTCAGTAGAGTAAGTGGTTTGACGCGTGTTTAACGCTTTTCTGTCAAGAAATAGGGGAGGCAGAAACATGCGGGTGCGCCGTACCGACGCTTTGCTACCACGCGACCGCCACCAGTAGCGAGCGCGATGGGGATACTGCGATGATCGCCAGCGCCTACGGGGATTCGGACCGGAGGCTTGTGGATTACAAGTGCAAACGTCTTACACCAACCGGACACTGACTGCATGCTAATCAATCTGGAACTCTGTTTGTTTTCTAATGGTTCTGGATTCGCAATTACAATTCCTTGCACTGTGTCGTATCATAACTTTGTACTACCGCACCTGTTGCGCTCATTGGTTGACCCAACAAAAGCGATCGGTGTGATGCGCGACGATTCACTCGAGTGACCGTTGTATGCCGTCGCCATTTGCGCCGTTACATTCCTGTCGGTACCCTTTCAGTGCACCGGCAATTGATAGTGTAAAATGGCTAAATAGACCTACCCGGATACATAGATTCCTTTCCTTCACTTTACTTGGCTCGCATTGGCACTCATTAATGAGCCACATCAGTGGATAAAGAGGCTTCCCAACACAGTCCAAGTGAAGTCAATTAGGCTTCTGCTTTCAGTCTGCTGCTGCTGCTGTTAGTTCATTTTTGTGAAAAACTATTCACATTTTATCCGGAACCCTCTCTGCACGTTTGTTTGGGGGTGGTCACTCTCATACCACCCGTTTTACAGCCAATGTTTACCGTCACCATGACTGGGGCTGTGACTTCAGTACCTACTAAAGTGAACTGAACTGGATGCCGAATTGCGTCAACTGCAATCTGGCAAAGGGCAGTGTAGCTATGGCTAGACCATTACGTCCGTCTCTATCGCCTATGTTGACCAGGCCACATTCGCTGCGCATCTCTCACAACCGACAAATTCGACATGCGCATTTCGCCGAGGATGTGACATGCAAGAGTGGTGGTATACCGCCACTGCAGTAAAATGAAGAACAGACATGAAGCAACTGGTTGAGGTACGTAGGGGGAATTGGTCAAATGAGCTGTGGAAAATCCCACGTGACGATGCATGGTGGAAAAACCAACAACATTTCTGCATGCGCTCCCCTATTCCACCGCTATTTCCAAAGTAAAGCGATTCGGAGCGCATTTCAACTCCTTCGATCGAATTTGCATTGCAGGATGCAGGCTTGTGCACTTAGATGTTCGAAGTACGGTTGTGACAGCAGAATGAAAAAAAAGAGCCGATAAAGAAGGAAATCATCAGCGGTGCGTCAGCAACCCATTTTATTTGTAAGGCTCAAAAGAACAATGATTTCCCGCATCAGATGGATTATTCCCTCTTGATGGTTATCCACCTTCCGAGTAAATAACATGCTTTGTGCGTTTTAGGACACTAAATGCTCAAACAAGTGTCCTATTCTAACTCACTTCAGTTGCATGCACATTTTGCAAGGTCACGCATTAATCAGTCTGCTATTGACATTACTGTTACCGTTATCGGTTTCCGCCGCCGTTGCAAACCGAGTCGTGAGTCTTACCTAGTATATTATTCTGCGCTTTAGAAACACGGTTACAAGATGACATACAAATTCTACTGTCCCGAACGTTTTCTGCCCAGACCGTGCTTGTAGTCTAGGTTTATTACTCAATGTAGCAATATTGATATACAATACGTGCGACGTGATTCCATTTAGCATACTTCCGTCGTTGCGGTACTGATGACATGTAGGTATGCAATTGCAAGCGATGGTATGCGGTCTGGGATAGTACAACAGGGGTACGCTAACCCATACAGGGGACGGAAACCAAAACCCTGGTTGTAAGGGTTACAAGCCAAACACTTGGATCAGGACGCTAGGGATCCCCACTGCAAGGGGGAGAGTTAAACAACTTTATGTCGCGACCGGACGACAGAAAGTGTCGACAGTTAGCAGAACAACGGAAGCGCAAAACAAAGTTAAAACCACATGTAGACAACTCGTCAAGTAAAAGTATCACTTTGCAGACGCCAAAATGGTAACATAGAAGTCGAAATGAGCTGCTGAAGCAGGGAAACTCGAACCAAGGGCATTTTAGAAGCCAGCCGACTCTAGCGAATGGGACAAACCGATACTATGTGAGGCAAAATAATAAGGGATAAACAATTAAATAAATTTACGTAGCATTTTAAGGAAACTGTTTCCAAGCAAACAGAAAAAGGCGCTTTTCCAACACTCACTAAGTCATCAACAACCGGTGAGCGGGACACAGTGGCTGATTTCAAAGTGGGAGATTTATCGCGACGCTCTGGAGTTTGCGCTCCATCGGATAGAACAACGTCGGTGAAGTTGGGAGAAGGTACTGCCGCCTTGGGGATACTCGGCGCTTGTTGGACCATTGGTTGAGTCGACTCCGAATCAGCCACCGAGGGAGTCCAACTTCGTAGGTTACTCATTCTACCAGAGCAGTCCTTAAGCGAATTTGTGAGAGGAAGCTTAAGAACAAACAAAATAGATATGGAACATGAAAATTTGGTAAGCTCCGGTAGTCTCCTAGAATAGGGAATATGAGTTGGACAGTATCAAGACACGAGGGCAATCGGTGAGGCTTTAGCTATAACAGTAATAAATGGATTGGGTCAGCCAAATATTGAGTCGTTTGCAGTCAACTTGCTTTTTGTATCATTAGAGGTTAATTCTAGAAGCGGTTACTTAGAGCGAAAATCATGAAAGAACCCGACAGGAATGTTCGGGGACAATACGATGAACTCGGTAGAGTAGAAGATATAACGGAATATCCGCATGAATGTAAAAAGATGAATTACAAGTATGATCGGCTACATTCACTGGGAAAAGTTCGAACCGCACAAAGCATATGCCCGCACCGTACGGCCAGGCTAGGCGAAACAACCGCCCGTGTCACTTCTGTTTAGTGAGTTATATTTGGAGGTGCACATGGATGGCCGCATCCGGTTTCGGATTTGCCTGTCACTGTGGCAAGCCACAGGACGCCTGCGCCTACAGAGGGACCATGGATGGCTTGCGCTGCACCACCCACAGCTCCAACCACATACCCCATATCCAGTGTAAACCCGAAGCAATAAGACCGGAAGGCATGCGGATGGGAACCACGTTTCATCAACAGAGCCGGCCCACACTCCTTCACAGGCAAACACAAGCACGCTGTATTTGGAGAATCAACCGCACACAAGGCGGTGGCTGGACCGTAGTCCGCTCCACACCAAGTCCATGGAACCACTGTTCGAACCTAGCACGACCACAAGGACCGTGCACCCCGTCCCCTCCAGCAACGACCAACTGTCTCCTGGAGCCAGTATGAACGATGTAGTGGGTAATAGACAGGTAGGCACCTTGTCAACATACACATCAAGCGCAACCATACCAGGGATATCAAACAACAGCCATTCAATTTAAACAACAAGCTGAAATAAAATAAATCCAATAATGCATACAGATACGGTGGCATAACTCTTCGCTAAATTACCATATGAAGTAAGTTGGTCAGCAACAAATCCGTGATAAGTAAGAAATGTCCACAAGTTACTTAAAATGCTACAAACGCAACAAAATTACCGAAGATACGCGCAATTAGTGTAAGCAACGTGGCCAGTTAATAGAACATTATTCAGGGAGGCAGAACAAACCAAATAAAGCGGAATGAAATTTATCCAGCTTAAAAAGACCTAGTTAAAGTGTAAGTTGGTTTAGCCCAACTGCGGTGAAGAAGCATCAAGAATGCAACATCAGTATCAGCATGGGGCACACATACATACATGGTTGGCGGCATCCGGTTTCGGATTTGACTGTCACTGTGGCAAGCCACAGGACGCCTGCGCCTACAGAGGGACCATGGATGGCTTGCGCTGCACCACCCACAGCTCCAACCACACACCCCATATCCAGTGTAACCCCGAAGCAATAAGACCGGGAGGCATGCGGATGGGAACCACGTTTCATCAACAGAGCCGGCCCACACTCCTTCACAGGCAAACACAAGCACGCTGTATTTGGGGAACCAACCGCACACAAGGCGGTGGCTGGACCGTAGTCTGCTCCACACTGACTGCATGGAACCGCTCTTTGAGCCTAGCACGGGCACAAGGACCGTGCACCCCGTCCCCTCCAGCAACGACCAACTGTCTCCTGGAGCCAGTATGAACGATGTAGTGGAGGTGCACACGCCGATAATAAAACACCGGTCATATCAAATGGCGGACGCCTCGAGAGTATATATATATATATATATATATATATATATATATATATATATATATATATATATATATAGCCAGTACTCTACGTTCGGACCGCAGGTGTTTGACGTGGCTGTACTAGGCTCAACATACCAAACGGGGCAAAGGATAAAATGCAGCAAGAGGTACAGATACTGAGTTCCGTATGAGTTGCCTTGTGAAAAACGGTTCCATGGTTCGTTCGTTTTAAGCAGTGATGCACTCCGGAAACGTGCACATAGGTCTAGTGAGAGCGGAAGTAAGTTGTGGCTATGAACCGAAGCTCTTGAGAAGACCAGATGTTCTGGACGCACTAGGAAACCTAGTAACTGTGGTGGCAGTGTACACAGATCAACTCGGAGCATCTTCATGCGCTTCAGTGAGGGTCATGCAGCACAGTGCGCATCGGCAGTGCCTATCGTAGTGTGGGAGAATTGGCCACGTATGTAGCCCACCCAAGCCACGAAGGCACATTGACTCTGGTGGTCCTAACGGTATGTGTACGTGCAACAAGAAAGTTGGCCTAGTTCGAGGACAGACCGGCCATTGTGTTAAAGTACAATGCAAGAGAAAGGACAAAAGCATATTGGGAACAATAAAAAGACGCGCTAGTCGAATTTGATTGATGGGAGAAAAAATTACCGTGTATCAACTTCATGTACCGCATTAGCGAGAGCGAGGATGAAACATGAACAGGACACGCGCGCAGCCAGTGGAACGACGCAAGACAATCAGCTCTAGTGTTCACATTTGGAAACCTCATGACGAAAACGTTACCTCGTGTGATCGAGTGATATACTGGCTTTTCCGCCTAGTTCATGCTACGTGGACGGTGCGAAAAGTGAGGGCCGATGTCCAGAGAAACGTTACAGGCGAAGTTCCTGCTGGAAGAGAACCACCTAACGAATCACCCGCAGCTCATTGTGACAATAAAAACCAGGCCGTACTCCTGTAAATCTGTCGATTAATGTTACTAACTGATCAAAAGAATGCTAAAGAACTGGCTTATACTATTTCCCATAAGTTAGGAAGTAAAAAAGGAACAATTACGAAGACCAACGGAATCCTATAAACAACACGAATCAGCATTAGGTGGCCGCACTGTCTATTCATTAAACCGATACTCGAAGTTCTCGACTTATAGATAAGCAAATCGGAATGACTCGGGGACCACGCAGCTAATATTGAGAGGACTGGAGAAGCGCATAGTCAATCAGAGAGTCATTGGAATCAATCAGTAATCAGTAATCATCATGGTCAACTTTACCGTATTCCCGTCCGCTGGAGGTAATTAAGAATTACTACACCATTTTACATGCATGTTAGTGCATTGTACCAAGTTTTTAGCGTGGCGCAGGATAGATCTTTACGACCCAAGGCTCCGAGTGGGGTCCCCTAAGTCAACCCTCTTCCTCGGCCTGGGCAACCGGGAAGTACTATGCCCACACAATCTATGGATCCATGTCTCAACAATTCTTCACTCACTCTAACTGCGCTCACGCTCTCAAATTGCTCTCATCGACCGAGGTGCTGACGGCTGAACCTGCCAAACCACCGTTTAGTCACTTTAATCCAGGATTGTTCAACCCCCTCATTCTTGGTCTTCCCCCTCCGTTCTCAAGTTCACAACAACGTGCCGACTTAAGCGAACGTTCTCGCTATGCGGAGCAGGAGCCTAGGTTGGAAGATGCGCCAAGTCGTGTGGACAAGTCATTTCTAGCACCCAGTTCCGAATTCAAGTTGGCAACCTCCAATGTTCGGACGCTGATGCAGATTGGATCACAGACAGCCCTTGGTCCCACTGTAGAAACTACAGACATTTATGTTTGCTGTCTCAGAGAGACCCGTTTACAGGACTCTAGTACGACGCTGCGACTAGTTTCACCGTCTGCGAATTCCACTGGCATTTTCACTTTGCGCCTATCTGGAGACCCAACCGCCGAAGCCGCTGGTTATGCTGGCGTAGGGATTGCGTTGAGCACACGTGCTGAGGCCGCGCTACTAGACTGGATCCCTGTTAACAGTCGACTATGCGCGATCCGACCTGAAACCTCAGTGCGACTGTCCAGGCGCGAAGCCAGCAGACGCTGTCTACTCATTGTCGCAGCCTACGCTCCCACATATTGCAGCCTGGAGTCAGTTAAAGATGAGTTCTGTGGTCAATTGGCCGTACTGACATCGTGGTGCTCGCCGGGGATTTGAACGCGCAGGTCAGTAGACTGGAAGTTGACGAACGTGAACTCGGTGGTCAACGCGGGCGTGGCATTCGCAGAAAGGACAACGGTAATCAAATACTTCAGGTTTGCGCCGATCACGGCCTCCTTCTGTCGAGCACTAGCTTTCGGGGATGCCGGCGCCAACGCGCCACCTGGCCAGCCGTGTACACAAATTGACCACATCGCCACTAGGTATCGATGGTAGGGTAGCATACAGGATTGCAAATCAATCTGGAGTACTTATCTCACTTCGGAATACGCGCTGGTGTGTGCCAAGGTTGCGCCGCCAGAAACGGCTTAACGCAGTTAAGCTTTCTGCACCAAACGTTCTCCACGCATTTCAGGATGCCTTGGCCTCACGGCTGAAGAGTGCCTCATGCACGGACATTGAAACAAACTGGACACACATCCGCGGTGTCATGTACAACCCAGCAACCCTGGTCTGTGGCTTCACCTATCAAGCACTGGATCTTTGCACGATCCCTCCAACTTCTCGAAGCCCGTCGAGCAATTCCTGCTAGCCTTAAATACTATACGCTAAGCAAGACTAATAACGCTGGGCTCAAACAACTTCTCCGGGAAGATCGCGAGGCCTGTTGGACGCAGCGGCTCATTGAGATGAAGCAAGAGGCCACCTCGAGGAATTTCCGTAAGCTTTTTCTTCTGATCCGATCTACTCGCGGCAAAATGCTGACTGTAAGCGAAGTTTTATGCGAAACCAATGGCGAGCCAATCCACTGTCAAAATCGCCGACTCGAGCGTCGGGCCGAACATTTTGAGCAGCAGTTTAATTGGTCAGCAGCACCAATGAGTTCCCATTCTGGAGCCCAGAGCGCTCCTGGTGTGTAGACGCTTCACCACCATCCGAGGCTGAGCCTGCGCACGAGCTTCGCCTCTTAAAGCGTTACAAAGCCCCTGGCCCAGATGAACTCCTTCCGGCTCTTTTCAAAGATGGCGGCCCGTCACTTGTTCAGAAGTTAACTTCTCCAAGAGATCTGGGTCACTGGTTA